AACTGGTACCCCGCCGCAAACGCCGCCGCAATTGCCGCCCTCACCCCCGCCTTCTCAGGCTCCTGCGCCCTGCTCGCCGCCTTCGACGCATCCACCTCGACCCTCCGCGTCGCCTGCACCGGCGACTCGCGCGCCGTCCTTGGCCGCTGGGACCCCTCTTCCTCCTCGTACACGGCGATCCCGCTCTCCGTCGACCAAACGGGTTTCAACGCCGCAGAGGTAGAAAGACTAACCCGCGAGCACCCAGACGAACCCTCCATCATCGATCCAAAAACCGGACGCCTCATGGGCATAGCAATCACGCGCGCATTTGGCGACCACCGCTGGAAATGGGACAACGATCTCATCAAAGCATGCCAACACAAGTTCTGGGGCACGGCGCCTCGCCCGGGCTCGAAGACGCCGCCGTACATGACTGCCGAACCCGAAGTCACCGAGACGCAAATCGTACGCTGTGAGCCAGACGACTACAAACCCTCGGGCGATGATGCTACAAAGGGAAAATCCGACTTCCTCATCCTCGCCTCCGACGGCCTCTGGGACAGAATCTCCTCCGAGCACGCCGTCGAATGCGTCCAGCGCTACCTCGAAGCCCGCGCTCGCGGCAAAGGCTCAGTCGCTTCCGATCCACACCTCAAGGCCAACCCCCCCAATTTCTCCTCCGTCTCTGCCCTCTCGGCTCAATCCCCCTTTTCACCTTTCCTTCCTACCGCAGCAACAGCACAGCAGCAGTCTTCTGGCGGTGGAACCCTCGAACCCGGTGTAACATGCGATCCCGAGCAAGGACAGGATGTAGAGTGGAAAGCTACGCCTGAGTATTTTGCCATTGAGGATGAGAATGCGGCGGTTTGTCTGGCGAGGAATGCAATGGGTGGGACGAGGAGAGGACTTTTTCTAGGGATATTGGCGGGGCCCGAGCCGTTGAGTCGGAATGCGGTCGATGATACGACGATTATGGTTGTGTTTTTTGATCGGTTGGGTGAGGGTAAGGGTGCGAGTGGTGTGGGGGCCGCTGGTGAGACGGGGGAGAAGAAGAAGAAGAAGAGGTGGTGGTGGCCTTTGTAAAAGGGTGTTTGAATGTCACGATAGGAAGTAAGGGTAGTGAGTACCTCCTTGAGAAAATCCCACAGCTTGAAACAAGGGAAAAGGGGAGAAAGACGCCATGATTCATCTGGCATTGCTGTGTATTGATAAGCGTAGTAAGTTAATACACCTTTAAATCTCCCTCCGTCCCAATGAGTACAGAAAGACTAGAAAGACCGGGTTCTGCCATTTGCAAAGTCGCCACACCACCATAAAAGCCCATGAATGGTATTTGTTAGCAAAAGAAAATACCTCGCCCTAAACCTTTTCACAAGTATATTCCCCCCCGGAAGCTTTAGCAAAAGAGTAGTGATGTTCCCCTGTTTCCTCTTTGTCCTGACCCTTTGCCCGGGCCCTTCACTCTCGCCCAAACGCCACAAAAGCCCATCCAGTCCATGCAAATGCCAATAGCGATAATGTGAAAAGGAAAATCCACTTCTCTTCGACGGGGACGAGCGTGTGTGCTGGGATCAGTCTCTCGAGCATCGTGATATCATTGCATGGGGTTATGGTTTCTGCATGTCTTATTTTTCTTCTTTGTGTTGCACTGATATCGTGGTTCGATTCGTGCGGCGCAGTGGAGGGAGGTGGGGGCTCCACCTCATGCAAGCCACATGCTCCGTTTCTGTCCATATGCTTGGTGCCGCTGAAACCCGTGGACTTGACAAAGTGGGAGACAGCACAAATCTATTGCAGGAAATCTTTCCGTACATTGATGAAGGAGCCAGGTCCACCATCATCTGCTAGCTCCGTAACAAGAGCCTCGGCTTGTTGGACCAGGCGCTCCAAGGCGGCTGATGAGGATTTACCTAAAGAGACTGGATTATGTTAGCACATCATGTGCGTAGGCGGAGGTTATTCGGTGTTGATGACCCTTAAGCTCTCTGTAGACCGTATCTAAAGGAAACTTAAACATACCTAATATCGCGCTGTTGAGCTCTTCAGCTACTGGTGCGCGACCAGCAACATCCAATAACGGCGCTAGCATACTCTCGCGTGCGTCAGGGTAAGCAATCAGAGCAAATGTGTCTTCGAGTGCTCTCTTCACTTCGCGTCTTGGATCGTTGGCAAACTCAGCTTTGAGCTCCATACCATAGGCAATCGTCTCGTCCAACGCACGCGCACTCTTGGCTTCTTTATCCTCCATATCATCTTCGTCCTCGTCTTCAAGCTCATCGTCCTGGTCCTTGTTGTCCCAACTGGGTGGCGGATTGTGTACGCCCAGCTGCTCGTCCAGCTCCATTTCAAAATCATATTCTTCAGTAGTTGAGCGTTTTGAGGGTGCTGTCGGCGTGGCATGGCATTGCGCATTGAGCTCGCCGCACCGCCGTATCATCTCGATAAACTTTCGGCAGCGGAGCTTAAAGTAAATGTTCTCATTGTCACGGAGAACAAGAGGATAATATGCAGAGGTATGCTTAAGCGCCTTGTCAATATCGCCCTCAAGAATAGCTGTACGGATTTCTGTGCCATGTCAGCATGCCTTTAGTAGTTCCTGAATCGCGCTGAACTCACTTTGCCTATTTAGCGCATCCAGATCTTCAACGGCTGCCCGGTAAGGAAGATCTGCATTTTCGTCGTTTGCAAGTGCTTTCGCCTCTTCCAGGATCTCAGCTGAAAACGCTCGAGCGGTCTCAACGTAGCCGTCATGAGCTAGATATTGTCCGACTAGCTGATGTATCAGGGCATCTTCACCCCCAGCGGCGCTTGATTCAACTTTTGTTCGTGCAATCTCTGCTTGTATGGCAGCTTTCTCGTCTTGCACCATCTTATCGATATCAAAGGCAAAAGGTTCCTGGCCAAAGTTTACACGAACTGTCTCGCCAGGCTTCTTCATACCTACTGTAGGGTAGTACGGCATGTTGGGTTTCAGATCCTTAAAAGCAACACCTGAAGATGTAAGTATTGGATTTGATCATTTCAAGCTCTCGTACTTACCCAGCATGTGCCCATTCTTGGTGAAGAAGGCAGTATTCGTCCGAAAGTTGATGCCGCATCCAATAACGTCCAATGTGCCAAACTTTGGTCCGTAATTCTTTCCAGAAGTAGTATTGCTAAACACTTGTCCATCATCGCCGTGGTAAGCATACGAGTCCGGTTCCCAACCTGGTATCCTACTCAAGGCGACCTTGGCGCCTGAGAATCCTACCCCAATCATCCTTCTACAGAGTGTGTTAGTATGCGCATTATCAAACTTCAGGTCTACATACCCATCTTTACCCTTGGAAATGACTGTGATTTCGTAGTAATAAACCCCGCATTGCCTTGGCATAGGGAAATCTGCCCGGACCGCTGCGGCTTCGTCGTGAGTCTTCTGCGTGCCTGCGAACTTTGCCATTCTTCCACCGTCCTCAAGTTCTAGCTGACTGAATCGGTCGCCTTCGTTCCATCTTGTTGGCCAGGGCGCTACAGGCTCGTCTATAAGCACAGGCGCACGCTCAATGACCTCGTGCGTAAGACCCCGGTGTGAAGGTGCCATCTTGTGGAGGTTGACACTACTCGAACTTGTCGATAGCGACCCCGCGTTGGACGAGTGGGTTGACTTGTGTTCGCGCTGTGCCGCCAGCTTCGCCTTGTGCACCTCTTCCAGCTTCTCCGCATGCTTGGATCCCCGCAGGTACGACGGCACGAAGAACGGAGGTACTTCCTGAGCCGGCGCTCCCATCGAGTTCCAGTGGCCAGACTGGCTCGAATATGAGGGCAGTGGTCCGCCGCCCCTTCCCAGACTTGTAGACATGTGGCCGTCGGCGTCGATGGAGCGAGAAAGGCGGTTCGGGTTGGTGGCCAAGGTGTTGCCGCCAAGGTGAGAGAACGGTGTGGATCGAGAAGGTTGGTGGAATGAGCTGCCGCTGCTTCCTGCCGATCCAGCAGCGACCCTGGCCCAACTCTCCCTACGAGCATTCATCATTGCGAGGGCGATGGTGACGTGGGCTGCGGCTGCGGACGTGTTCGCGGTGACGTATGGAAGCGATCGCAAGAGGAGGACACGCCCTGTTCGCGAATCGGGATGGCCTGACAGGTGGTTGGAGTCGCTACAGAGCTTGGAAGCGAGAAAAGGCACTCAGGACGCGTAAGAAAGGACGCCGGGTAGATGAGGAGGTACTGTGCTGGCAAGTGCAGTCGCCAGACGGTCAGGGAAAGATTCAGCGACACCCAGGCTCCTGTGCAACTACAATCACAAATACATTCATGGTTCCATGCAAGGAGTATGTTGCTACAGACAAAGAGTGCTTGCGCGAGGGTACAGTTCAAGTCGACGGTCAAGGATGGTTCATGAGGTTTAGATGCAGCCGAGCTATCGGGGACCATCCCCGCAGTCCGCGGGTAGATAACGCCATTACTGCGGTCACGCTCGCCAGTATCTGGCAAGTCATTTCCGCCGACCAATTTTTCTCTCTTTCTTTTCTCTCTATGCGGTAATCAGTGGAAAGGGTTTGATTGTGAACTATATGAAGATCTAACAATCCCGTTTCTAGACTATGCATGAAGGGGGGACACTAGATGCATGGTAACCAAGTTACTAATCAACTCACTCAGGGGCTGGTCGACAATGGGTATATAATAGACAATAATATTTGGGCCTTTCGATGCCCCGTGATGATAGGCAAGATCAATGCCTTCTTCACTGCTTCATGTGCGCTCTTCTATCCAGTACAAATGTAGTCGCAATTCGAATCCCCGGCTCATGCGCCTTGCTTCACCCCTGCTTTACACAAGCCGGATATACCCCCATAGAAAAAAAAACGCCTTTTAGATAGGCATACAATGCCATCCATGAACGCCCAACATGGTCAGAAGATACAAAGGGAATACGTGGAAAAAACAAGCAGCAGAAATTGAGAGCGATGCACAGCTGCGGTAGAGGCAGGGTACATCATATAGTTGATAAAGGAGAGAGAGAGAGAGATGACGAATGTTCAAGCGGCAATGGGCGCCGGCGAGCTGGCAATGCCGTTCATGGGCGTTTGTACTGATGCACTGTCGCCATTGAGCCCGCTCTTGTCGCTGATTGCGCTGCTCTCGTCCTTTAGCTTGGAGTCGCTGGTGCCGGTGCTGTCGCTCTTGACATCGTCGGCAAAGGCGGAGGCTCGACCGGGTTGATATGTAGGGACCTGCCAGAGAACGCCGGTGAAGCTGCGAACCTGAAAGCCCTTCTTCTCCCAGCGACGGCACTTTGCGCCTGACCTGTCAAGGGCGCGAAGGCGCTCATTGATGGCTCCGAGATTTGCCTTTGGCCCTGCCTTGTTAATGGCCGGGGTTGCGGCAAAGGATGGCTTGGAATTCGGATCGTTGATGATGTCGCCCATCTTCTTCCTCTTTGGCCCGGGCTTGGCCTTGGGTTGCTTGGGAGTTCCGGCGTTGGAGCCAGCCTCCATCTGAGCAGCAGTCCGCTTGGTGCCGGGCTTTGGCCCCTTCCTCTTGGCAGTGGGAGGAGCAAGCGACGACGGAGTGCTGGCGTCGTTCATGATGATAGTGTCGTCGGCGGGCGTGTCGTCAGCAGGCGCAGACTCGACGATTTGCGGCGTGGGCGTTGATGGAGAAGGCTTTGCTTGGTCGCTAGGCGCCGGCGTGGGCGGGCGGGCGAACCTGGTTAGGGAGTCTGCTGGCAACTTGAGAGTGACGACGAGAGTCTTTGGAGATTTCGTGGTCATGTTCGCGTGCAGGCGACGCGGCGACGATGATGAGTCGAGATGGGGTTGGGCAGACGCAAGCAGGCTGGCAGAAGCTGGTGTGGCAGTCTGTTGCAGCGGTGAGTGGAGATGAGGGCGGCTCCGCGTGTCAGCGTGCTGGTGCAGAGGAGCGTCCTGGTGGCTAGGCGGGCAAGTGCGTGCGTGCAGCGGTTGAGCGTGTGGGTGGGAGTCGTGAAGCAGACGAGGTGGACGGGTGCAAAGAGGGTGGCACGAGATGGAGTGGAGGATGGTGGAGAGGGAGGGTGCGCGATGAGGGTTGCCGCTCAGGCAAAGAAAGGGCTTCGGCCCAGCTGGGGTGGTCGGCTTGCCAGATCATATTGGGCGGAATCGCTAAAACGTTCTGTCTCTGTCGGCGCTCTAGCAAGAGGTGAGGACACGGCCCCCTTGGCCCCGACGACCAACCGCGCTAGTCCGCATCCGACAGGCTGGTATACCCAGCGCCGCTCTCACTGTCGCTCCAGATGCATCTCGAACACATTGCCGCTGTTGCTGCTGCTGCTGCTTCTACTCTTCATGCTGCCATTGATGATGATGATGATGCTGCTGCTGCTGTCTGCCCTGCCTGCTGACCTTCTTGGCCCGTGTGGCCTTGCCTTGTGCCATGGCGAGCTAAATTGCGCGTTCCAGTTCCTGAGCGGCGGGCGGTAGGGAGCCATCGCGCATCCTCGCATATGCGGCACCAGCACAACCTTTGCTCCATCCCACACGCTCAACAGCCACTTTTTGCATCTTGCAATTGTTTGGCATAGGCTGCCCTGCTGCTGCATCTGCACCCTCCGCCTGCTCTGCCCTGCCCTGTCCCGCTCCGCATTGCACTGCACTGCACCCTTTGCTGCCCCTCGCGTTTCGCCTTCGCTGTGCACCCTGTCTTGATGTTCGTGCGACAACTGACCACTCCGCCACGCTCTTCGACCATTGTCGCGGACGAGCGTCAGCACCTCGCCCACTGCCGCTGTCTCCTCGGCCTATCCACCCCATCCTGACCACACCTTCTTTTTTTTTCCTGCACCAAGCCTGCTACTGCCGAGTGATGCAACCTGACCGGGCCTGCTCGTACCCTCGACATACACTTGTCCAAGTCTTCACAAGGCCGGCCGCCTATCAAGTTGGTGTTGAGGAGCTCCCTGCCCACGCCGTTCCATGGAAGCAGCGCGTAATTTCCTGACCACCACGGCTTGCCCGGCTGAGGCGACGCCCCCCTTCTGCATGTCCCAAGTCTCCACGATGACGTTGATGACCGCCCCAAGCAGTCACCGACAAAGCCTCGTGAACTCGTGACTGCACCGTCGTTACCCCTGTATGCTGAGTAGCTCGTTGATCATCATGAATCCTGTTGCCAGCCCTGGGCAGCCGGTCCGTGGGACGGTCGTTACGAGGATAGCGCTGCAAACATTTTAGTGCCCTCCGTCCGGGCAACAGATGATGAAGCCGGTCACAATGGGTAATGCAACACTTTTGAGTCGTTACCACGCTACTGTTGTCACAAACCACCCACGCTGTAGGGCAGGCGCGACCTTGGGCCACCAGACACCAGGCACAAGGCCCAACCACTGCCAACCTCCATTTCTACTACACAGACGAGCAGCCTACTTTTTTTATGCAGAGCCCCTCGTCTCCCCATACCCATCAAGAAGACAGCCAACCCATCCAGCTTCATGTGCATGCATCAGGGGTATACAAGCCCTACTTCACGCTATACAAACAGACAAGTATAGACTCCACAGTGACCAAGAGACAAGACTGAAAAGCTGGGAAGCGCCGATGATAAGATTGGATGTAATCCATCATCCATCTCTGGGCATTATGCCTACTACATTCTTCCTGTCCGGCCCATATGCTAATAAATATCATCTATGGAATAAGGCATTGCTGCATTGCCAATATTCAACCATCACCTTTTTTCTCGGAAATCATGGTTCGCTCATCCTTGATTGTTTCAATATTTCGGGAAACCGCTCTCGTTCCTATCAACCGGCGCGTCGTCGCTTTGTCCCGTTTTGCACTGCATTCCCGTTAGTCCTTCGTACTTCATCGCCGCTGACTGCCACCTCGTCTTCATTCATCCACTCTCTTGCGGCGCCAGGCGTGCGCCGTCTGAACTGACCAGCTCCAACTGCCACCACTTCGTCTTCACTATCGCTAGCCTCAATGTCCAGCAGGATTGGCATGCTGAATTCAGCCTCGCCAACGCCAGGCCCAAATTCATTGCCTCCAGCTTTGACGGGATCCACGGTGAGGACATCCACCTCTTCGTCTTCTTGATCGAGGCGCCGCTTATGCAACTCTTCAAGCGGCTGGATGTCGAACTCGTCTTCGCGCTCAATGTATTCGACATTCTCTTCTACTTCGAGAAAGTCCGGTGCAAGCGCAGACCAGCGCTGGGGCTGCAAGATGGACCAAAGCCATACCCGGCCAGAATCTACCCCGACAGCAGCCACAAAGGGCCGAAATGGATGCCACTGCCAAAATTAGCGTTCGAAATCTGCCGTCATATACACGGAACAAACCTCAACAACAGAAAGCTCCTCCTTGGTGCCTTCAAGAATCTTAACCAAACTGCCCTGTCCGCGTTCCCAAACGTAAATGTGGTGATTCATCCAGGTAGATGCAGTAACATATTCACCCGTTGGGCTGAAGGAAACATGGTTCCACGATAGCCTTTGCACCAGATCCTGAAACTTGTGTTCAACTTCCAACTGCAGTGTATCAAAGTCCAATTTTGGGTCGCTGAGGTCGGGCAGATGGAGAGTCCGGACAATACGATCACTCGAATTAAGCACCACGTCCCTGCCTGATGGTGTCAAGCGGATGTATACAATAATGTTGTTGGTGGCTCGGAACGAATAGCGTACTTGGTGCGTCTTGGTATCGATGATGTTGAGCCACCCTTTATTTGTGCCTGCTATAATATGCTCGCCAGTGGGTGTGAAGAGTGTCATTGTTGTCGTCTGTTTGGCATCTTGTGCAGTTTGTTTTTCTGTAGCATTCTCGCGCTCAATGTCGGTTCGGTGAGGCGCAGACGATAGCGAATGTTTGACGGGAGTTTCTTCAGACATGTCCACAATGACGGGCTGGTCTTCAAAGAGTGCAGCTACAAAGAGCATGCTAGGCATTGTCAGTCGAACCACATTTCAACTCATGCATGTGCACTTACTGGTTCTTGGGGTGCAATTCTGCAATGAATATGGCCGACTCGAAGCGGACAGTGCGTACCCGCGAGCCATCCTTCAAGTCCCATAACACGCACTTCCAGTCCTGGCCCGCACTGAGAAGGTAGCGGTCATTTGTTGACCAGCTCAGTGACTGCACTTGGCGTGTGTGACCTCGAAGCTTGCGCGCGACGCCATTTGTCTCGATGTCGAATATGACTACTATGCCATCGTGCTAGAGCCATATCAGCGAGGCAGATTGTGCAAACATGAAAAGGTTACATACTCGTCCGGATGCAAGTAGGTCGCCGCGATGACTGAAGCGAATGGATGTAGAATGCCCACTGCCTGCATGTTGTGAGTAGTTTGCACCGCGGAGCCATGGTCTGGCGGGCGAGGGTATCGAAACTCACGTAGGCGGCCCGTAATGACATCGGGACAGTCCTGCGCGAGGACAAAGGGATCAACCAGCGACAGATTCATGGTGATACACTGCAGACAGTGTGGCGTGTAAGAAGCAGTGTTCAGTGCGCAGCATCTTCGCCGATGCAAGAGCTGGTGTCCATGGGCGCAGAGCACTGTATGTACGTATGTAGTAAAATGCGCGTCCCAGCGACAGAGCGAGCGGCCGCGCTGGCTGCGCGCTCCATGGGTGAAGTGGGTATGAGGCTCCGCATCCGCACTAGTGCCGACTACGCCAAGCCTCTTTGTCGCCTTCTGGCTTTGATCATGGCCTCGCTCTCCCAGCACGACTCCCTCACCACCACCCACCCCCGCCATCACCAACGGCCGTTCTGCATTCTCAGAGCGCGTCTTCCACCTCGCCGAACCCGGTAGTGCTCTCCGGAGCGCTTTTAATACGCGCGCACGCCTCTCGTCTCGACGCGCGACTCGGCGAGCCCCCGACCCCCGTACAGCCCTTTTCTCGCGGCTGCCTTCCTTCGACAATACTGCCCTTTGCGCGCGGCGCGCATCTAATACATCCGGGCGACGAGGCCAGTCGACGCAGTCACAACGGCAACCCCATTTACTAGTTAATCCGCCGAGGCAACGGCCGCCGTGGCCACCGCGAGCGACGACCGATAGCACGGTCCCTACCAATTTCATCCCCCATTTCACTCCTTCGAAACCGCCAAAATGCCTCCCGGCGCGCCACTTCAGTCAAAATGTCCGCTCCGGACGATCAAGGAGATCCAGTTCGGTCTGCTCTCCCCCGAGGAGATCAAGGCCATGAGCGTTGTCCATATCCTCTACCCAGAAACCATGGACGAGCAGAAGCAGAAGCCGCGTGAGCAAGGTCTCAACGATCCCAAGCTTGGCACCATTGACCGCATGTACTCATGCGCGACCTGCAAAGAGGACATCCAGGTCTGCCCTGGCCACTTTGGCCACATTGAGTTGCACACGCCTGTTTTTCACGTTGGATTTGTCGTCAAGATCAAGAAGCTCCTCGAGACCGTCTGCCACACTTGTGGTATGATCAAGGCTGACTTCGTAAGTCTTCCTAGGCGAAGACAGAGACTTCAGGCGCTTGGACAATTTTTGCTAACTGCAACACCAGAACCATCCCGACTGGCAGGCAGCTGCCAGAACTAAGGATGCCAAGAAGCGCTTCGACAAGATCTGGCGCATGTCGCGGACTAAGAACGTGTGTGTTCAGGATGTCGAAGAGAGCGGCAAGGAAACCAAGGTCCCCAAGATTCCCCATGGCGGCTGTGGCAGCAGGCAGCCCGATACCATCCGTAAGGAGGGTCTCAAGCTCACCGGAACCTGGAAGCAGAGCAAGAAGGATGACGACGACGGTCAGGGCGACCGTAAGGAAGTCATCACCCCCAAGCAGGCGCAGACAATCTTCAAGCTCCTGTCTGATAACACGCTTGCCCTGCTCGGTCTGAACGCCGACTACGCCCGTCCCGAATGGATGATTCTTGATGTCCTTCCTGTGCCGCCTCCTCCAGTCAGACCCAGTATCTCCGTCGATGGTACTGGTCAAGGTATGCGTGGAGAAGATGACTTGACATACAAGTTGGGAGACATTATCCGCGCCAACCAGCGTGTAGCCGAGTGTCAACAAGAGGGCTCGCCACAGCACGTCACTGCTGAGTTTGAAGCTCTTGTACAGTACCATGTTGCAACATACATGGATAACGATGCCAACGGTGTTCCGCAAGCCATGCAAAAGTCTGGTCGTCCTCTGAAGACGATCCGTGGACGATTAAAGGGAAAGGAGGGCCGTCTTCGTGGCAACTTGATGGGAAAGCGTGTCGACTTCTCCGCACGTACAGTCATCACTGGTGACCCCAACCTGTCGTTGGACCAAGTCGGTGTTCCTCGTTCCATTGCACGAACGCTCACCTACCCTGAAGTTGTGACCAAGTTCAACATCAGCAAATTGACCAACTTGGTACGCAACGGTCCAAATCAGCATCCTGGTGCCAACTACGTTATCAAGGCCGACGGCGTTCGTCTTGACCTTAAGCACAACAAGAATCTTGACGACTTGCGACTGCAATACGGATGGAAGGTCGAGCGTCACATTAACGATGACGACGTCATCATCTTCAACCGTCAACCCTCTCTGCACAAGGAGTCCATGATGGGTCATCGCGTGAAAGTCATGCCTTACTCCACCTTCCGTCTCAACCTGTCCGTCACATCTCCTTACAACGCCGATTTCGACGGTGACGAGATGAATCTCCACGTTCCTCAAAGCGATGAAACTCGTGCTGAAGTCCAGAATCTGTGCATGGTGCCAAAGCAAATTGTATCGCCCCAGAAGAATCAGCCCTTGATGGGTATCGTGCAGGACACGCTTCTTGGTGTTTACAAGATGACTCGTCGTGACAATTTCATTCCTATCGAACAAGTCATGCCCATCATGATGTGGGTCCCTGACTGGGACGGCATCCTGCCTGAGCCAGCCATTCTCAAGCCCCGGCCTCTCTGGACCGGTAAGCAGATTGTCAGCATGGCTTTCCCTCGTGAGGTCAACATCGAGAAGAAAGAAGATGACTCTACGCCGAGCAAGGACAATGATATCAAAGACAAGAGTCTGATGATCAAAGGTGGCCAACTCATCTATGGTCAAGTCACCAAGAAGATTGTCGGTGCTTCGGCTGGCGGTGTTATTCATATTGTATTCAACGAACTCGGCCCTGACGCAGCTGTCAAATTCTTCAACTCCTGTCAACGAATCTGCAATTGGTGGCTTCTCCACTACGGCTTCAGTTTCGGTGTGGGTGACACCATTCCGGATCCCCGCACTTCTGAAAAGATTGCGTCCGAGATTTCAAAGTCCAAGGTCAAGGTTGAGGACATCATTGCGACGGCAACAAAGGATCAGCTTGAGCCTTTGCCTGGTATGACTATCCGTGGTACTTTTGAGTCCAAGGTTCAGAAGTTCCTGAACGAAGGTCGTGAGGGAGGTGGTACTGCCGCCCAAAACAGTTTGAAGGATTTCAACAACGTTGTCCAGACTGTCGTCTCTGGTTCAAAGGGTTCTACAGTCAACATCTCTCAAATGGTTGCCCTCGTCGGTCAGCAAGCCGTGGAGGGTCAGCGTATTCCGTTCGGTTTCAAGTACAGGACGTTGCCACATTTCTCAAAGGACGATTACTCGCCCGAGTCTCGTGGTTTCGTCGAGAACTCATACCTTCGTGGTCTTACGCCTTCTGAGTTCTTCTTCCACGCCATGGCTGGTCGTGAAGGTTTGATCGATACAGCAGTCAAGACGGCCGAGACAGGTTATATTCAACGTCGTTTGGTCAAGGCCCTCGAAGACGTCATGGTCAAGTACGATGGAACTGTCCGTAACTCGATGGGAGATATTGTTGAGTTCATCTACGGTGAAGATGGTCTTGACGGTGCTCATATCGAGAAACAGTCGATGGATATCATCATGTCCTCGGAGCCTGCCTTCGAGGCGGCATACAAGCTCGACGTCCTGACCACTGACCAACCAGAGATTCCTGTGTGGAAGCTCGAGAGCTCTCCCTTGTTCCAAGGTGATGTCGACGTGCAGCGCGCTCTTGACGAAGAGTTCGAGGCTATCAAGAGCGACCGTGAATATCTTCGTGCAAACGCCAGCGAAGATGATCTGGAGACTTTCCAGCTGCCCCTCAACATTGCACGCATGATTCGTTCTGCTCAGGCGAGGTTCGGCATCAACCCAGAGAAGGCCGCCAGCAACCTCCACCCAATTGAGACCATCAAGCAGGTCCGCGAGACTCTTGATCGCCTAGTTGTCATTCGTGGTACCGACGAACTTTCCAGGGAGGCCCAGGACAGCGCCACCTACCTTTTCAAGGCTCACTTGCGGGCACGTCTTGCTTTCAAGAAGCTTGCGGTTGAACATCGTCTCAACAAGGAGGCACTAAGCTACGTGCTAGGAGAATTGGAGGACCGTTTCCTGAAGGCTGCTGTCGCGCCTGGTGAGATGGTCGGTGTCCTTGCAGCCCAGTCCATTGGTGAACCCGCCACACAGATGACGCTCAACACTTTCCATTTTGCTGGTGTGTCTTCCAAGAACGTTACACTCGGTGTGCCACGTCTCAAGGAAATTCTGAACATTGCTGCAAACATCAAAACTCCTTCTATGCTTGTCCGTCAAGCAGACGCCAAGGCAAGTCAACAGCAGGCGAAGCTGCTGCGAAGCACTATCGAGCTTACAACCCTCCGTTCACTGACGCAAGCCGTTGAGCTTTACTATGATCCTGACATTCAATCTACGCTTGTCGAAGACGATCAGGATATGGTTGAGTCCTATTTCATCTTACCTGAAGAGGACGAGGTCATCGAGTCGCAGTCCAAATGGCTGCTCCGTATCATTCTCGATCGCAAGAAGCTCCTGGACAAGAGTATCACTATTGGTGAAGTTGCCGGCAAGATCAAGGAAGAGTTCAAGCCCAATCTTGCAGTCATCTTCAGTGACGAAAATGCGGATGAGCAGGTCATGCGTGTCCGTTTCATCTGGGATCAGAATCTTCAAAAGGACGACGAGGATGAGGATGAGCGAGATGAGCGATGGATGCGCAAGCTTGAGAAGCATCTTCTTGACGATGTCACCCTTCGTGGTGTTCGTGGTGTTGAGCGTGCTTTCATTCGAGAGCACACTGTCACTGTCGAAAAGGAAGACAGGTCCTTGATGCACTCAAAGAACAACGACCTGTGCAAGGAATGGGTTCTTGACACTACTGGTACTTCCCTGGCTGAAGTGCTGGCCATTGAGGGTGTGGACGCAACTAAGACATACTCCAACTCTTTCATCGAAATCCTTGGAGTACTTGGTATTGAAGCAGCTCGAGCTGGTCTTCTCAAGGAGTTGGGTATGGTCTTGTCCTTTGATGGTTCTTATGTCAACCATCGCCACATGGCATTGCTTGTCGACATCATGTGCCAACGCGGTCTTCTCATGGCTATCACTCGTCACGGTATTAACCGAAACGATACTGGTGCTCTGATGCGTTGTTCATTCGAAGAGACTGTCGAAATTCTTCTTGAGGCTGCTGGCTTCGGTGAGCTTGACGACTGCCGCGGTGTTTCCGAAAACATCATGCTTGGTCAGCTTGCACCAATGGGTACCGGAGAGTTTGATGTCGTCATGGACAATGCTATGCTGCTCACCATGGTTGAAGACAACTCCAAGGCAATGGGGGCTGCTGCAGGCAACTACGTAGTTGGCGGTGCAGACACCCCGTACCTCAACTCGCCTACATACGAGGGCGGTATTGGCATTGGCTCCTATGACCAGGTATCCTTCTCGCCCATTGCTGCCGCAGGTGGCAGTGGCGATACAGGTGGCTTTACAGACTACGGAGGCACCTATGGTGGTGGCCTGAGTCCGTTTGACGGAGGCAGAAGTCCAGGCTCCGGCTTCACCGGTATGTCTCCAGGCTTCACTAGCCCCGTGTCGCCAGGCTTCTCTCCTACCTCGCCCGGCTACTCGCCTACTTCTCCAGGAATTGCCAGTCCTCGTTTTGCTGCTACATCTCCGGGATACATGGCGTCTCCTACCTCGCCCCACTACTCTCCGACTTCCCCTCGTTATGGATCGCCTACGTCGCCTTCATACTCGCCCACATCTCCAGCTGGCTACTCCCCGACGTCACCTCAATATTCACCAACCTCGCCAAACTACAGCCCAACATCCCCTACATTTATGGGCGGTGCTACTTCGCCCGCGTACAGTCCGACGTCGCCACAGTACAGTCCGACGTCTCCCCAGTACAGTCCCACAAGTCCACAGTACCAAGCAGGCAGCGATCGTCGCTCTCCCACCTCTCCCACATCCCCTCAGTACAGCCCGACGTCTCCCCGATACTCGCCCACTAGCCCTGCTGGTGCCTTTTCGCCAACCTCCCCAAGATACAGCCCGACTTCTCCGGGTCAGGCGTACTCTCCCACGTAGGTTACCCACGGTCATAGTTGTAGACGACTTCTTTTGGTGTAGCATATGCTGACTTTGACCTAGATCTCCAAAGCAATAAGCGGCTTGTTGATGTAAGGCTTCTTATTTCTTCACTGTTTTATATCGAAATCTGTTCTCTTCTTGGGATGATTTGGACGAACTCTTTACTGAAGTTGAGCAAGCTACGTTGGTGTCTGCCCGCTCTCTTGGTCAAAGGTTCGACTTAACCACCTATCAACCCCATCACGGCTGGTCTCGTACGGCAGGTCGTATCTGCAAGCGGTCGTTCCTTTAACTAGGCTCACGTCCTTTTCAACACGTTCTGTTCGACGAATGATGGGTTTACCTCGCATGCGCCTCATTACAATGCTTTACTCGCGGAACCAAGTTTGTACAACAACAACTACAACAACCCTTCTTACCCAAGCTGCGACTTTAGCGGCACCAAAAATCTGCTCATCAACCACGCCACGAGATTGGACCTTTTTGCATACACACCCTAATCTTGAGGGTAGTATCGGCGTTTATTTTCATGGCTCTTGTCTTTGTCTTTCTCATTCCACCGCAAAAAAATATATATGCAAGGCGTTTGCGTGTGTGGGACTTGCTTTGCATTCCTGATATATACACTCTAAAGAGGTGTTTGCACTTTGATTCTTTATGCGTTTCTGCACTTTCATAACTAGAACGATCACAAACTTCAGTCGCCCGCTCAAATCGCGCATTGGGGCTTTTTGCTTTCTTGTTAGCTGGAGAATCAGATTGGGGAGGATGCGAGATGGGGAGATGTTTGAAACGTCTGCATTACGAGCGGCGAGTTATAGTAGCAACTGCGTCGACGTACACGATATGAGTTATAATAAGAAATTCACGAAAAGTTGGGAGAGCGCTTTTGTTTGTTTTGAGACGTTGTGACGGTGAGTGAGCATAAAACAGCCGCCAATGACAAACGGTTGGTTCAATGAAGTGACTGTGCAATTCTTTGTAGCGGAGGATTTTATGAGATTTGGATCCATGCAAGACAGAATTGCGTGCAGAGAGACCGTGCCTTCTCATCAAGCGTCGCTCAGATGCAGATTGACTTTAGAAGCAAAAGTGGAGAAGCGTCACGTGCACTGGCGTTGGCGGAATTTTAGACGACGCTAGCGTGTCTGCAGCGAGCTACAAAAACCCGCCAAAATTATTTCTCTCCTCTGCAACGGCCTGCCTTGCCAAAGCTGCGTTTCTTTGCATACACTCAGACGCTCTTTACTGAGTTGTCCCAACGTGCAAATGAGAAATTCGGAGTAATCTTCACTTTTTATCATGCTCCTCTTCGAAAGAAGGGAGCTGTACTGCTCGTAAGAGCCTGGCGTGACTCACGTCTGCACTCGGCATCAGAAAGCTCAGGGCCCAGAAAGCGCGTTCTTTTTCTTGCTTCGGCGGGAGAGCGTGTTGAACTGGTGTCCCTATGGGAGTCGGTGCGAAGATTGTGTGTCTTGACCCGGCAGGGAAGAGGCGACACTGTAGTACAATACGCAGCGTACTTGACCTTGAGTAGCCCTTTGGGTGAAAAAGGGCACAGTATCATTCGATTCTGATTACTCTGGCGAGGCAGGCCGTTCACTCTTTATTTTTCTATGTAAGTCTGATTCTTCCAACGCGTCGTATAGTTCAAGGATACTGCTAATGAAAAGTTCATGATATGCAAGGACATAATAACGTTTTGCGCCATGTTCCCCTACCCTCGGGTGACATGGCCTACTTTGCTGTCTCTTTCGATCTGTCTTTCACTCTATACATAATGTCTGTCCGTAGCGTGAATTTTTGCCCACGTACCACATCGTCACCGCTGTGGATCATGAGTCGATGCTGGAATAGCAGGACCCGACCGACTTTTGGTACAACGTCTACACGCTTCCGCATGTTTGCACTGAAGAAAGTCGTGGCACCGCCTTCCAGCTGTGTTTCGCCATCTTTGCCGACAGCATCGTTGAGGTATAAATGCAGAGTGAAGTATGAGCGCTCGGTACCATCAGGCGTCTCGTATGAGCCATCACAATGAGCTGCTCTAGTCAGCAGGTGTATTAACGTCTACCCGATTCAAGACTCACGTTTGAAGTACTCGCCACCAACGTACTTGAGAAATCTTCCCCGTTCGTTCAACCTAGTCAATACCCAAGTCTCTCCCCGCCGCGTGGGACCATTTCCCGTGACTTCTACCCAGTTTTGTAAAGTGTGGATTTCCGGTACAGACGGCGCTATTCTCGCCCAGAGTTTGTTCATAAGCTCCTCGTTGTCCCATATGATGCGGCCGCACTTCCTTGTATCCTCATACATGGCCTGCATGCCACCACCCACATTCACCATTGCTCGCTCCCATTTACCGTCGGTTGTTGCCTCTGCTCCTTTGATCAAGGTTTCGCATTCTTCTTCGGTCAAGACGCCGTCTAGGACGACGGCCCAGGACTTTTCACATTCCGGTATTCCGGCTTCTTTGAAGTCGATTTTGGACTTTGTAAGATTGGGTGCTGGGCCCTCAAGGAAGCCTAGAGGTAGCGTAGAGGATGGGGGTGGAGGTGAAGGTAGTTTGCTAGTGGTAGCCATAGTTGCTGGATGCCTGTGATTGCTTCGAATAGGAGTGCGACACAAAAGCAAAGACCGCAGCCGCATTAGGCAGCTCATCTTATACGTGCAGGCTCAACAAGGCTGTACATTCACAGAAAGAAGTATGTAACGACTGCTGCCTGCTTCAGCCCCACGGCCCTAGTGGCGTTGAACAGCGCAAAGCGGTGGCCTATCACCGTGTCTGGCGGCGAAGGCCTAGACATGACTCTTGAGGCTTTTGCAGACAGCACAAGGCGGAAATCGAGGGCTTTCAGCGGAGCCTACTTGGACGTCCCCCATGGTGCCCCTAGCTAGCGTATAAATAGCAACTAGCAAAAGCAACGGCATTGATCGCCAAGGCATACTTGTACTCACCGCTGACGTCTGCTCACCATTCACTATGACAGTATACGGCTGGTCGCCCTCCTGACAACCGTTGTCATCCGAGCTCGCCGGCTACTACGGTCGTCAGGATGGGCAGGGGGCAATCACGTGAGGCGTGGTACCTGCGTGGAGCCATCGTGTTTCAGGCCTTTGGCAGCAATGCCGACTCCCACAATGGATGCACAAAGATCAATGAAGGCCGCAAACCTTATGTACTACACAGCATCAAATCGCAAATGACGTGACACGAGGCTTCAGCTGTTGCGACCCTCACCATCACACACGGCGTGAATCGACGCCGCACCGCAAGCAAGCCACTGCCGCTCGCTCCACCAACCGTTGTGCCAAGCTGGGGCCCCAACCTCACTCCTAATCTCCCATTCTTCACGCTAGGTTCAACGACGTGTCGATACGCGCAACCACTACGCTCGCACCTCTCCCAAGGGCGACCCCTCCGTCGACCAGCTGCTGTCGCCCGTCTCGAGGCGCCACCTACCGCCAACTCGCCTTCTCTCCGACCATCCGCACATCTCCCGTCGTTCATGCAGCCTGCGCATTGCTAGTCAACCCAGAGCGCCAAACAAGCAAACGCATTGCGGGCTCTGTGCCCTTCACCAGACCCTGTGTCTATCGATAATCTTCATTCTTCGTCCACCAGCGACACTTGTCGCGCGCCTCTCGCTACCACCACTTCCACCTGTCCGCAGCCATGTCGCACCCTGATGACAAGGTCACCATGGACTACGGTCCCGCCCGCAACCGCTTCCCGACGCTCTTTGAGGTGTTGAGCCGCAAGACAGTCGCACCTCTAGACCTGTTCTCCTTTTACATCTACATGCGAGACCAGCAGCGATCAGTCGACTACCTAGACTTCTGGTACGATGATCGCATTCGGGGAAGTTGCGATAAGCTAACAAATCACCAGGCTCGATGTCTCACAGCACCTGCAGCTATGCCGCCTTTATGTCCGTAGGTTACATCGCAGTATGATTGAGGGAACGCCCGATCTTGACAACAGCAACCGGTATTCGACTTTCGCTATGGACAATGCTGGAGAAGGGCCATCTAATGAAAAGGGCGACAACATGTCCGACCAACGATTGTCCGCCTTCCTTCGCTCCGAGCGTGGAAGTCCCAACCATTCGCCGCAGCACAGCCAGGGTAGCAACCAGACTGGCGACTTTCAAAGACCGAGCCCGTATGCGTCCGAGACACCTGGTGATTCCAACTCGCCTGGCCATAACTCATCTATCGACAATACACAGCCAGGGAGAGAGGATCTGCGTGCATCGGCCGAAAAGATTCTCTACACATATCTGCTTCCAGGCTCAGAACGAGAGATCATCATTCCCCAGAGCATTTTGTCCGATGTCCAAGAAGCGATCGAAGGACCGGAGCAGCGTGCGGATCCCGAGCTCTTTGACCAGGCTAAAGACTATGTCTTCCAAGCGATGGAGCGAGACGCATACCCTGGGTTCCTGCAGAACAAGGGCCTTGGCAACCTTGTGCCTCAGAGCATGATGGTGCGCCTCATTGTGGGATTGATCAGCTTCTTCGCGGCCATGTGGACTTCGTTCATTCTCATCTTTCTGGACAAGTCAAGAGCTACACGGTGCTGGGTATGTAATGACGATTCGTACTTGGAGTCGACTAACGATACTTGCAGATCATTCTCCCATTCACCATTGCTATATACCTGATATTCACCCACCAGTACATGCTCGACCCCATCATTGCCCTTGCGGGTTACAGCGAGTATACTTTCTTCGATTTCAACAAGATCAGGGAACCGTTTGTCAAGAAGACGCTCGCAAGACGCTCCCTGACGGTCCTACTCATGTTCTTGGTGGTCACAGTAGCTCTGTGCTGCCTCTTCATCTTCGTACCAGGTAAGCGCTTGTGATTTATGACGTCCAAGTAGTTGTCTGGTTTTACTTTCGAATGTGTAATGTTTTTGCTTCCATTCTTTGGCGTTTTCATCTGCATGAAGTGGCTGCGGTATCGGAGGCGGCTTGAAAGGGAGGATATGCAGATGTACGTCAAGTGGGCGATGGATAAGATACCCCCTCGCTCCGTCGATACACGACCTATAGCAGGACTTCCTTTTGTTTCTTTGGTTTGAAGCCTGTATTTGATGTCTTCTGGTTATGGACAGCCAGTCTCCAGGTAGAGAGCATGGCGTTCTGGAGTTAGCACCAGGCATCCAGTTAGCAAGCTCAATGGATATACGACATCCGCAACAACGCAATTGTATCTGTAATTGCACAAGTGACGTGATGGCTTTGTGGTATGCATGCACCCGCGATAAACGTTTGGCGAACCGTTAGCATGTGGAGATGAATACTTAGGGTACATGCATGCCAAGGCGCAATGACGTGAACCCGGGCCGGGCTCGACGGCTTCAAGTGTCAACACCACGTGCATTGTCGGTGCAACTCGCGCCGCAACAGCTGCAATTCACCAGATCGCGGTCGAGATTCCGTCTAACAGCCCCGTACACGTCATTTGTTACCATATTCGCTGGAATTGCGAACCAGTAGCTCCTTGCTGATCCTCGAAACTACGGCCACTAGTCAAGTGGATTGCAACGACCAGCAAAATGAGCGGACCAACTGCTAAGAGCAAGAGAGGGCCGACGGTGCTCATGACCGATGCTCGCGACAACACCCCCAGAGCACCACGGCCACCACAGCGACCCAGCACCGTACAGAGGCAGAGCACCAGCGCGCGACTCATCTCGGTCGACAACATTCTGCAGTACGCTTCCGACATCCCCAGCCAGCAACGACGAGGCCCGCCAGGCAGTCGACCTATGGTTCACACGCGCACCCCCAGCGGTCGGCATCCGCTCGACCCCAGGCTCTCCGGTCGCCTGATCCCTCAGCACATGCCGACGCGATCAAGCAAGCTCAGCGAAAAGCTAGTCCTCTTACCCGAGACGGATGGACAAGAAGAGGAAGAGAAGACTGAATTCGATGACGACGAGTACGATGGTCCACCTACCGACGAGGATCTTGCGAGACGGACAACAAAGGGCGGTCCCAATGACAAAAGTTATGCGGAGCGACTACCTAAAGCTAGGAGGACGGACAAGCTCTCGCGCGTCACGGCCTACTGCACTACGCAGGCGTACAAAATGAAGGCCACTGCTCAGTTTGTCAAGGACCAACATCATGCGCGTACCAAGCTGTATGATGACTGTCTATACACTGTGTACCATCTCCCACTCTTGCCAGGAAGCGACGGCTACCGAGTCCGCAGCAGCCCTGCGCTGAAAAGCCCAGGAGGAAAGACGGTGCTCGATGAGGAAATCGAGCGCAACGAGCAACGCGATCATCACGAGGGATACTTTGGCAATGAGGAAACCTATTTCGTGCGTGACGATCATGAACTAGACCATCCCTACAACCAAACGCTCGACCGCAGAGACTCAGCCGAGAACTCGAGAGTTGCGCCCAATGCGCTGAGTTTTGGCGAGATGTTTGTCTTTTCCTACGGCGTAGCAGTCTTTTGGAACTTTACCGAGAAGCAAGAAAAAGATATCCTCGCCGACTTGACCTTTTCCTCCACCGCCACTGGTGTCTCGCTCGCAACACGGCCCTTGACCGAGTCTGACTTTGAGACGGAAGAATTCCACTTTGAATATAACCCGGAAATCCAGCGGCCACGCATGTATAATGATATGATTACCTTGAAGAGCGGCGACCACATGATTAAGCTGGCTATGAGCCACGCAATCGCTCAAAGCACGAAACTCAGCTTATTCGAAGAAGGCATGAACAGAACTATGCTCGCAGCACAAAACGTACCAAAACGTCTAGCCCTGACCGGCAAGCTGGGTATGAGGCGAACAGACGTCGTCAAAATGATCGGCCAGCTCTTCACCAGTCGCGTCGAAGTAAACCTTTGTACGTTTATCCCCCCCCTCCCCCTTCCTACACATCTCTACTCCCGAAACCCCCCCTTTGCTAACTCTCCGATAGCCTCCAACATGCTCGACACCCCCAGCTTCTTTTGGGACGCAGAACCCACCCTCCACCCCCTCTACACCGCCGTCCGCGAATACCTCGAAATCAAACCCCGCATCCAAGTCCTCAACGAGCGCTGCCAAGTCTTCCTCGACCTCGGCGAAATCCTCTCTGACTCCATTAGCGATCGTAAAATGACCAAGATTACCTGGATCATCATCGTGCTCATTGTCCTCAGTATCTGCATCACGTGTCTGGAGGTGCTGCTGCGCTTTGCGATACTGCAAAAAGGGAAAATGAATGTACCGGTTTCGGGAGGTGGTACCGTGGGTAGTTTGACGGCGATGGAGAGGATGAAGGTGATGGGGCCGCCTGCGTATGCGGGGCCAGGGTTGCTGGCTGCGAGGGGGTTGGTGTGGATTGGGGGTGGGGTTAAGAGTTTAGTTGTGGGTTAGTTTGGGTGTGGAGTCGTCTGAGAGAATGATCATGGTTATTCGTATGGCCTTTGTGTTATGTTAATATTATAAGAAGTGATGGAGGTATTATCTACGTATCTTGGAGGAAGACTTGAAATTCGTACGCTGGCTTCTTTTTTTTTTGGCCTGATAGAACATAGCGAAGGGCGTTTGGGGTATATATCATTTCTTCTATAACTTTGCACATTTTAATAGAGCAATTATGCTACCTAAGTGTTATATGTTTTTTTTTCTTTTACTGCACATTCCCAGTCTACTCGGTGTTTGTGTGTATGTGGCCTGCCTTTCTTTTGTGAGATTATTGATCTGATACCGCTACGTAGCAAACAGATATGAAGAGAGAGAAAAATTCAAGTGATCAACGCATACATACACGCACAGAAAATACAGGTATTCTTCGAGTTGAACTTAATATATATATATATATATACACTACGTAGTTGATTATTACAACTACCCTATCCCGTTTTTGTTTCTTCTTCCCAGAAACACAAACCAGAAAGTCTCATATCCTCCCTTCTCCTCTACATGCTCATTCAGAAAATTAGCACGTGGAATCGCTACGTACCATGTGAAAGATAAGGAGAACATATCGTATCCTGGCTCTCTTTTTCTCGCATCACACGACCAAATCGCTATTCATTAACCTTCTTTATGATCTCTTATGCAAAAATAAAAATAAAAAATAAGGATTAAACTACGTATACCGCTTCTTTCTACTAGATTAAATATTATCACTATACTCTCTCTGCAACCTAAAGGTTTTTTTTTCTTTAGATGGAATTGCGGATGTGGCGATATCTACGCCGCATAATCTACTTTGTCTATTAAAATTCCATTTAGAAAATAAAACCTAGATTAATCATAGTGATTTGCAAAAGCAAAAGGGCTGAGCTAGAATAGGCTGCTTTTCTTCTGGTCGTTTCTTGCTAGATATGTAGATGGCGTGTAAAGTGAGCATGCCTAAGGTAGAGAGGGAGGACCAGGAGTACAAGGAAGAAAACGGGGTGAAAGGGTCAATTGATATTTATGTTGGATACGGGAAAGGAGAAAAGATGGAGGGCAGGGTTGGGGAATAATGATAGAGGTTGCAAGGTATGTTGCGTACGAGTTAGGATATGTTGAGTGCATTCAAGGACTAAGAGATTGAAGCTTCTTTGAGTAAATATTGTATAGGGAAAGGACTGTGGAGATTGTGTGTTTGGCTGGTTTTGTAGAGACATATGGTCATCAAATAGTCCGAGGATTGAATTGAGGAAATGGTGAGGTAGGGAGAGAACATAGAGCTTGATATTAGAAGGAACGAAGATTTTCTTAGATGCATAGGATAAAAAAGAGTGATGTGAACAAAGCCATAGGGATTTTGGAATGTTCACTTCAGGTCATGTAGGATACCCAATACCAATTCCGCCAACACCCTCCACCATTCTACTCCGCATCCACAGCAAACTTCTTCAAATCCTCCATGGCCACGCCCCTCAATGCCTTCTCATTCGTAGCCTTGAGCACAACTTTAGGCACCTTCTTATCATCCAGCCCCGTCCGCGCATCAAACGCTTCCTTCCAGCGACTCACACACAAACACCACTTGCACCCATCCGTCAGCCCCACCTGACGCAAATCATTCCCACGGGCCGCCGAAAAGTCCAGAAATTCCTTTGAAACGATACCCGCAATGGCGTGGTTACCCGCATCCGACGGCGGCACCTCGCAGTATCCCGTTCGCGTGAAGCCCGTGATCGGTTGAGTCGAGTGTAGCGCGAGGGGCTGCTTGAAAACTATTCATCCCCCCCAAAAAAGAACATGATTAGCAAATGATCACATACCCAATCTTTTGTGTGTGTGTGTGTGTGTAATTGTGGGAAAAATCTCCGCAAAGAAAGGGTAATGCATGAGCCCTGTCTCCCTTCTTCGCTCAAACTTGGAAACGAAAGTTCCTGAAACACGCCGTGCCTGACAATCACACACACACGGCAACCCCCAAACCCTCCATTTCATGCAAAATGAACCAAAAAAGGGGGACGGGGAGGGAAGGGCACGGTTCCCATATCGTCATCTCTCTCCCGTCTCCGGAAATAAAAAAACGCCCAGGCACAAAACCAGTCGAGGGTCCAATGCATTCGTTTTACCCCCCCTCTCACCGCAGGGAGCGAGGAAGAGCTGAGAGAGTGGGTGAATGAGAAGAGGAAGAGAAGAAGGGGTCTACACATATCCAACAGATTCAAACATACCATTCAACGCCATATTCCCCTTCCCACTCACCGCACCCTCCCACTTAATCTGCACGTCGTGTACGTGCGCGTAGTCGCGTTTCGACGGGGCGCGAACGAGATTTGCCAGGAGTAATCGTAAGAGTCGCATCAGCTGGCCAATCTAACCCCCCCCCCCTTGCCCGACAAAAACAGCCAGCAATATTTTAAATCGAGAGAGAAAAAAAAAGGGAGACCGAGAAGGGATGTCGGAGTTAAAAGTCGTGATGTCGACGATGATGAGGATGAATATCTACAGGCAAAGAAAGAAAGCAAGCAATGATGATGATGATGATGATGATGATGACGAATCAAACAATAACGTCACTTTCCCCCCCACCCCCCTTAGCGCCGTTTCTCCTCCCACAAAAGTAGGGTAGGTTGTAGGGCTGAAAGAAACCACCCACTTACCCACCCAGCCCAGAAAAAAAAGTGGATGAACATCCGACAGGAATTCGGCATTGTGCAAGCACCAGTACCAGCACCAGCACCAGCAAGCACCCCCCCATAGATCGTAGATCCCTTGCCCCCTCCCCAAAAGGCCCTCCCAAGTTCGCACAAGCGGGCGCGCTTTTCTCGCTCGGAGCCTGTGCCTGTGCCTAGAGCACACGGCCTCCCTCCCTCCCCGGCTCCCCCCGGGGGCTTGGCAAGGTTAGGGAAGGGCAGGATTTAACTAGCTCCTAATCTGATCTGACTGATTGACTGATTGACATTGACTGTGGTGCAAAGGCTGCAAGGCGCGCTTAGTTCTGGATGCTTGGGAGGGGGAGGAGGGGGGGATCGGCAAATTGAAGGCGATCATTTGGTTTGGGGGAGGGTCTGGATCTTACAGCTTACTTTTACTATGAATAGTTTTTTTTTTGGGGGGGGGGGGGAAGGGTAATTAAGTAAGCGGGAGGGTTATTTGGGTTGAGGGATTGTGAGGTGATGAGTGCAGGAAAATACGAGGGAGAAGAGGGGAGGGGGAAATGAAGGGTAGGTTTCATATTGTTCACTACTACTTCTACATGAGGTACGATTATATCACTTATGCAGGTTCGCGCGGTAACTCCGGGATTCCCTGATAGTAGGTAGAGAGATGTGTGGGCGGAGCGCTAGACCCAGCTTTTCTTTAGCGGCGTGAATGGCTGGCGGGTATGTGTGTGCGTGTGTGTGATCGTTGTTGGTGGACCACAATTCTCCCGTTCAAACAGCACAACATGCACGGGGCAAATGGAGCTCTGAGAGCTTACCAAGGCAGGACTGCAAAAAGGCTTCTGATAAGATTTCGAGTGTGTATTCTATACTACTACTAATGCCGAGTTTGGGAATCAAGAAAAAAACCCCCATTTTTGTGTATCTACCGACATAAAAGATCATCGCGTTCATAGACATGGGGAATAAAAGTGTCGGCGAACCGCACGTACATAGGCGTGCAAAACATGACCAAACATTAACACCATATCCCCAGTGCACCCTTGAACATCTGTAAACCCAAGAAACGCCCGGAAGAAAAACACCCAAATCAGAAAGCATTTCCAAACACCTTTTCGGGGTATGCAGATTCGCCCGCCATTCTTAGCAGACTGGTAGGCCGTGGGTATATATATATGCAAAGCTGTGCTGTAATGAAATCAAGCGCGTACTGAATGCAGTTTTCATAAGCGATAACACGATTCGCTCCTTCATCGGTGGTGCATGCCAGCACCCGCCTTGATCTCTCTCTTCATCTCCTCCAGCTTCTTGTGCATCTTGAGCAGGTCGTTTCGCTGAGCCTCAGTTGGCGGCTTCTCGGCTTCCGTCAGCTCCCAGTACAGCTCTTCGTACTTCTTGTAGTACTTCTGGAACTTTTGGGAAAGCTCGACAGTCTGTCGGAAGCTCAGGCTCGGCATGGATGGAGATGTGGTAGACGAGGACGAGGCGCCGGGCGACGCACGAGGGTTGTTGTGGTGGTAGCGCGAGGCGAGGCCAGTGTCGATGTTGGCAACCTTGCGAACCTTTGGCGCGGTAGAAGGAGTGTTGGATGCAGATGAGTCGTCGGACTTGCGTTTAATTGAGCTGGTGGACGAGGGCGTAGAGGCATTGGGCTTGCCATTGCTATGTGAGGGGGTTTGTTTCGGAGTTGCGCGGCTGACCTGCGGCTTCTTCGCCACGATGTTGTGATTGTGAATGTCGCTGTCAATGTCATTGGCCTTGCGTTTGAGTGAGCGGTCCGAGTTGGTGGAAGATTTGGCAGGTGATGCTGCAAGAGCCTCATGGGCAGGATGTGACTGGTCCAAGTCGCTGGCGTTGATGGGCGGCGAAGCTGAGAGCGGCGAGGGGTTTTTCGGCTTGGTGTTGACTGGCATAGTGGGCTTGAAGGGCCTCTGAACAGGGCGGTCCCTCTGTGTGTCTCGTACCGGCATTTTGGGCTTTGCACGAATCGTGGTATTGCCTTCTGCAGTGGATGGCTTCTTTGCACGACTTTTGGAAGCGTCGGTTGAGGGTGTGCTGTGGACAGGAGGTGCAGCAGGGCGTGAAGTCGAGGTGACGGGTGTAGACGTGGCTGGGGTCGAAGCTTTTGTGGGTTCCTCTTTCACCACCTCCTTCACCTCTTTCACTTCCTTCACCGCTAGCTTCTGACGTGCCAAGTACTTTTCCTTGATTGATGACTTGGGCTTGATCTCAACCTCCTTTGCAGCCTTTTGCTTGGTCTCGCCATCCTTTGTGGCCCTCGGCTTCCGCTCAGGGGCAGTTTTGTCGGCCGCCTTCTTAGCTGCAGGCTTCTTCTTGGTGAGATCCGAAATCTTGTGCATGGGGGTGCTTGCTTTGGGCTTCGCCTCTGGCGCTTTCACCGTCGAACGCGACAAACAGATGCCTTGACCCCGTTGGTCCTGCGGCAACAGAATCTGCCAGAGCTTGTCGTCTTTTGACAGTCGTTGGCGGTCAAACGACTTGATGGCGCCGTCAATGGCCTGTTGGCGTTCCTCCGCGCTCTGATAGGGAAACTTGTAGGGGCTGACTTCACGAAAGGACTTGTCCGTGAGTTGCCACTTGTCGGGTTCGGCCGTAGAGCGTTTCGCAACCTTGGGCAAAACATCTCGAATGCTGGCTAGCGAGGTGCGGCATGTGGCAGCGAGCGAGGCCTCTGTGGCCGGCTCGCGCGCGAGGAGGTGAATGACGGGGACACGGAGAGCGTTGACAACGACATCGTGGCTGTTTGTGGGTTGCGAAGTGGGTGGGCGCTTGTGCATGGGCGACGATGGCGCGCTTAGCAGGGGTGAAGGCGCAAGGTGCGAGGATTTGAAGCCCGTCGAAGGGAAGCGACGATGGGCCGGGGTGCGTCCTGGTGTGGCATCGGCGACAATTGTCCTGCAGCAAGTATTGTTAGTTCTGGTGTGCACAAATGGTTGCCATAACATCATGGCTGCATCATGCGACAAGGGTGTTCGAGTCTCTCGACAAAAGGCAAAGGGGCAAGAGCAGGCGCAGGGCCACTGGGGAGGCATACTTGTTGGCTTCCTTGAACTCGGAGATGGCAGCCATGTTGCTCCTCAGCTGCTCCAGCGCTGAGTCTACGCCTGCCGTGACATCTTCCGCCTTGTGGACCGTGAGACTGTGGTGGATCAAACCGGCGAATTCGAGTTGATCGTCGTCGCTGCCATCTTCGCTGGACTTGTATAGTTCGTATCGATGTAGCTCGGCGCTGCTCTGCAGCATGTGCGTCTTGTCGCCATATTTGAGTTGCTGTTGTTGTGGTTAGCTTAGGTCATGCTGCATTATCCCGTTTCCCCCGAGTCGAACGCCCCATGACGATGACGACGACGACAACGACGAGCCATGGCAGCATGCGTGCAGGCGCCATGGGAGGGGGACTTTGGAGGGTGTGAGTGCACACGTACTGGAGTGCGTCCAAAGACTATCTGTGGTTGCTTTCCGCCCCTGGCGTTTTCGAGGAGCTCGTCGATGATGTCCTGGGTAATGTCCACCTGCATGGCCTGGACGGGGGTGCATTTGGCGTCCTTGAATGCGATGTCGCCATCCGGGGCTCCGACGAGGGCAATGCCGCCCGTGGGAAGTAGCTGTGCAGCCATCTTGGGGTGGGTGGCAGGCTTGCTTGGAAATGAGGTGGAACGAGGTGTGAAGCTCGCACCCGGGTGTTGCTAGGAAGTGCAATGCATGGAGAGAGCACCCAGGCACCGAGCGGAGAGCAAGCAGGGTGGCCGGGTTCGGGACAGAGGCCTGGTGACGAAGGCGTCTGGTGTTTGAGTGAGGCGGTGGTTTGCTCAGAGAGGACGAAGGAGCGAACAAAGGGCTCGTTGCTCGGAGGACCGTGAGGACCGTCAGACAGGTCAGACAGCTTAGGCCGTCATAGCGCGGCGGATTCCAGCGAACGAGCGTGCACGGGGGCCAAGGTACGATGATGAAACGATTGGCCGTCACGCAGGCAGGACCAAGGGCTGGGAACAAGCAGACAAGAACAACGACAAAGTTCCAGAGTCGTCAGACACGGGCGATGTGAAGAAAGGTGAGCTGGGCGGGAAGCAGCGTGAGGTGTGATGGTGGTGGTGGTGTGCCGGCGAGAGGGCCGGCAGCCAGGACGGCAGCCAACCAGCCAGCCAGCGGACGCCGCATGCCTCGACGGCGGTGGTCCCGAACAAGGGCGCATAGAACGATTACGCCTGTCCAGGGTACCGAATCCAGCCCCGGCCCGCTTTGTACTCATACACAAGTACCAGTCTTTTTTTTTTGCAGCACCAGCACCAGCACCAGCAACAGCACGGCAAGGCGCAGGGCAGAGCAAGACAGGGCAGGCGGGCTTGTGTTTTTATTCTGGCCTCGTCTTGTCTACCGCACTGGCGGGCACGGGGGAGGGAGGTGGGTGGAGTATTAGTAGTGTGTAGGCCGGCGGCGTCGAGGGCGGAGACGGGCTCCAGTCGACTCGATCCACTTGTCCGGCGCCATGGTCCAAGGCTTGCTGACCAAAGCTGCACAGCGTGCTGAGTCTGGCAAAGTCTGGGCAGGTCCGCCGTCACTCGTGGCAGTATTGCGGACAGCAAATGGCTCTGCGTTTAAAAAACGACGGCGGAGTTTGGGAGCCGGGCCCTGTCGCGAGAGGCAGGGCAGGGCAGGGCAGGGCAGGGCAGGGCAGGGCAGGGCAGGGCAGGGTCGCTTGCGGG